AACAGAGAGGCTGTCTGGGGCCAGCGGTGCCATCGACAGCTGCCGGCCAGAAACCCAAGCCAGCGCTCGCAGGGACACAGGGCCCCATGTAGCACGGGAGCTTTGCTCTGAAACGTTAAGGGAAAGGCTGGTCCCCAGAGATTGATTACAGGCCTGCGCCCCTCTGGGGGGGAGGGAGGGGAAAGCTGAAGGCGGAGCCCAGCCGGGTGCGGGAGGGAGCGTGAAGCCAGCAGGCAGCCCGTGGAAAGCTCTCTCCCACTCTCTGCTCCCAGAACACAATTGAATGTAGGTGACATGCCCACTGCCAGTTGGATCAAGAAAATGAGCAGCAATTGGATTTTGCCTTTTTATTTCAAGTTTTTATTGATTCTTATGGAGTGGATTAAATGCCAACACCAGAATGAGCAGGAATCTATAGCCTGTCCATGATGGAAACGGGGCACCGTAAATGTGACACATGCGTCTCTCGTAGGGGAGGAGTGAGGACAGAGGGGAGCAGCAGCGGCTCAGAGCTCCCCACCCCACCCGCCGCGGTCCTCAGTGGGGGGTGGTCATTCCCCCTCCGGGGACCTGTATGCAGCCGGCACTGGGACGCTGGCTGTCTGAGCACTCGGGTTCTTACTCATGGAGTTTTATGAAGACGAAAAGAGGAAGTAGGATTGGCAACAGGAAAGCAACAGGCAGAGGGACTGTCCTGCTGAGTACAGGTGGCTTCAGGTGACTGAGGAGACAGGTCCTGGCAGAGGGGCAGGACACAGCCTTGGAAGATTCTCTGCAAAGAGGGACAGGGCTGGGCCCTCGGAGAAGCCTAGAGCCAGCTCAGGCAGAACTTTCCTAGGCGGCAGAGTCCTGTTTGAGGCCCCCTCCCTGCCCTGGGGGCCTGGCTCCTGGCTCCGCAGTCCACCGGGGTCGGAACATCGGTGCCAGGAGTACGTTCTGCAGGCCTGCCCTCTGCGATGCCCTTCTCTGCTCTCTGTGGCCAGGGGGAACATGCAGTGGGGGACTGGGGAAAGCACCGGGAATCAACCAAGGCTGGCACCCAGCAGACCACACCCTCCTACTCCTGACCCTGCCCAAAGGCCGGCCAGCTGACCCCTTTCTCAACCTCTGAACTCCTGCAGTCACCACAGCCACCTGTTCCCTGCAGGTCCCTGCATTCCAGACAAAGCCACTTCCTGGGATGGAAGAGGGCCCCCTACGCCTCCCCAGCCCTCGGTAGGCCGAGGTGTGCAGGCTGAGGTGCGGGGCAGCGGCTTGCAGGGAGAAGGTGCCCCCCCATTGTGTCTGCAGGACCGTGAACAGGCAGCTAGATTCACAGGAGCTAGGGAGGGGCTTGTTCCAGAGCCAGCGCTGGCCCCAGAGGGTGGGGACCCCACTCCCAGCCCTTGGACACTGCTCCATCTGGCTCTGCCTCCACTGGGCAGGTGTCGGTCCTTTAACCTCTAGACCTGGGGGTAGAGTTGGGTCACCTGGCCTGGGTCCATCACTTTCAGCATCCTAACTGGTTCAGGGAGCAGGGCAGGCTCCCTGGGTCTCAGGGCAAAGTTCGGTAGTAATCTAGGAGTTTTTTCTTGAGACACGAGGTCCCTCCCACTTCAGGAGCCTAGCTGACCCCAGAGACCTCACCTGTAACAGAGAGAAGGGCCACCATTGAATGATTATGCCCTGGTGTGTGGCAGGGGCCAGGCGGCCTCCCCTGGTGCTTGGTCAGCTCTCAGGGCTCTGGGGCACAGAGGGGGCTCTGAGCTCATCTGGTAAAGCCCCATCCCAGGCTCATGTCCAGAGAGGCTGAGCAGCTTGCTCAAGATCACACAACCCAGGCGGGGCATGGACCAGTGCTGAGGGCTCCCGCCTCCCATGCAGCCACCCATCACTGCCCCCCAAGCCTGGTCACAGGAGCTCCTTGTTGTCCAGCTCCAGGATGGTGTCCCCCAAGGCCGTGGCTTCCCTGCTGGTGGTTCACGTCGTCACCCTGCTGGCCTCCCAGACAGAAGCCTTCGTTCCCATCTTTACCTACAGCGAGCTCCAGAGGATGCAGGTAAGAAACCTCCACTGCCCACCGCCCAGTGTGACACAGGTGACACACAGCCCTGCTCAGCACTCGAGGTGTTAGTCTTTCCAAGGCACAAGTGTCTCTTTAGTCAGCTATGCCAGTGACACCAAGGACAGCATGAAGGGCCTGGACTTGAACTCCAGCCTCTCCCTGGCCTCCTCCGCTCCTCCACTAGTGCCACTCAGAGGTGTCAGTGGAGTGACATCTTTTCCCACCCCTGCTCATCCTTCCGAGAAAATCTTCAATTAACAAGTCAGTAAATATTTGCCGAACATCTGGGTGAGAGACCAGACATACAAGGAAATCTAAGGAGCAGGCTCAGGAGCCAAGACACAAACACTAACAATAGAAAATTCACTAATGATAGAAGACAAAAGGGAACTGGCCAGGCAGGGGTGACTAATTGCCCAGTAAGTGCCAAGTTTGAGGAGGGAGAGGCACTGCGGGCTGGCGCCTGGAAGCCCACAGTGCCCACAGGGGGAAGGTGCGGCCTGAGCTGGGGCCTCGGGAGAGCAGGAGGGAGCACTGGTGGGGGCCAACTTCGGGCAGCAGCGGCCAAAGGCTCCTTCTCCTCAGACCCCGAGAGGAAACAAGGCAGCCTTAGGGAACCAGGCAGGGCTCAGGGCAGCTGGACCCCTAGGCCTGCCCCCCCATGGTAACTTACTGTAGGCACAGGGGTGCTGAGTGTCCGTGACACTGGCTTCTCTTTCACATGAGGAGATGAAAAAATGGAACTTCCACGTCCCACCAGCCTGAGACCAAGGCTCCCATAGGGACAAACACCTGAGCCTGTTCTCTGGGAGGTCACTGGCCCTGTGGTCCGGCTTCTGTAGCTATATCCTGTCTGGGACAGGCATCCATGTCCCCTGAGCAGCATCCCTTGCAGAGGCCAGGCTGGACCTAGACCCCCTCCTTCAGGGACAGACATGGAAACTGATGGGGCCCTAAGCACACCTTCCTCCACCGTGGCCCCTCTCCAGAGAAGACAACCACTGTTCTAGAATCGCCCCGTCTCAGGGCAGGCCCAGAGCTGACTCCAGGGATGTCATTAGAGAAACCAAAGCATAGCGGCAGATCTAACCAAAGTGCTCCAGGACTGGCTAGCAGCGTGCCGGGCAAGGTTTGGGGCTGGACAGAAAAAGTCAACCTCAGTAGAACATAAACTAGCAAAATGGCAACCAAAGGACACTTTACGTCAATCTGCTCTGTGGCTTTGCTCCCTGTAATTGCCAGGCTCTGGGATTTTTATGAAGAAGCTTCAGGCTCCTTCCTCCATAATCCATCTCTGTCTTGCCTCTTGTAAATCACCTCCCAGGGGCTCCAAGTCTGGGCCACCCCATGGCGCCCTCGCAGGCCAGGCTGTCTTGCCACCTTTTTTATAGGCTCTCTACTAAGGAAAGCACATTTTCACACTTAATATGCATGAAGGGCACCCATTATTTTCAGCATTTTAACTTAACTAACAGTAGCAATCTGGGTGCAATGTTTGAACTTCGAAGGAGCAGATTCCTCTTCAAGTTGACCTGTTGGTGAGCAACTCGAGAGCCAGTCTTAGGCCACTGGGTGTCTGTAACTCCACGTGCAGGACACACCGGGGGACGAGGGGGTTTTGTGGTCTGGGGGGAGCTCGGGCCCTTTGGCACCCTGGGCAGAAACAGGCAAGAGCCACGTAGGCAAGGTGAGGGAGGGCGGGCTTTGTGTGATTTTGTGCTCTGCTCCCAGGAAAAGGAGCGGAACAAAGGGCAAAAGAAATCCCTGGGTGAACAGCGGAGGTCTGAAGAGGTGGGTCCTCTGGACCCCATGGAACTCACAGAGGAGGAAGAAGACCAAGTTATCAAGGTGAGCAGACAGGCAGACGATGCAGAGAAAGCCGGCGTGGGTTCCCCTGGCCAGCCGCAGAATGTGCTGGGGCANAGACCAAGTTATCAAGGTGAGCAGACAGGCAGACGATGCAGAGAAAGCCGGCGTGGGTTCCCCTGGCCAGCCGCAGAATGGGCTGAGGCGCAGCAGCGAGCCAGACATCCAGGCAATGAACTCCATCCTCGCAGCGAGAGACAGACACAGACAATGAGACAATAAACCGTTCTAGGCACCAAATAAGAGGTGTGATAGAGAGTGACAGGGCGGGATTTGGGGGCACTGCTTTGGATGGGGCAGTCAGGAGGGCCTCTCGGAGGAGGTGACATTTGATTTGAAACCTGAATGATGAGGAGCCCCTCCATGAGCAGAGCTAGAGCAAGAACACCCCAGAAGGAGCAGTGAGTGCAACAGCCCTGCTCAGGAAGCACCCGGTGTTTTTCAGGTCCTTGAGGCCAGGGTGTCCTGAGAGAGGGCAATAGGTCGGCAGAGCCTGGTGGGCCAGAGGCCTCTGGGGATTCTAGGCAGGGAATTCGTTGGATCTGACAGAGAGAGAGCTGGGCAGCACAAGCGAAGGCAGGAAACTTGTCAGGAGGCAGCTGCAGTCCTCAGGCAGGAGAGAGGTGATCAGAGTGCAGTTCCTCCCCCTGGATAGGAACCCAGGAGACAGCTCCAGTGCGAAGACCCAGGGCCCAGGGCCTTCAGCAACATGTTGGGATGCATGACTGGGCCAGAGAGAGCCTGGAGTGTGTCCAGCACAACTCTAATTTCACACTCATGTATTGAGGCGATGAATACTCCGACCTCTGCTATGTGTATGGCCCGGTTCTAGGCCCTGGAGATAGAGTGGTAGACAACACTGACAAGTCCGCCACCCTCCTGGCACTCACACTCCAATGGGGGACCAGAAACAGATGCTGGAAGGACGGGCAACATACCAGCAGCAGGAAATAAGCAAACTGTGTAGCGCAGCAGGTAGTGGTAAGTGCTATGAAGAGAATGAAGCAGGGAAAGCAGATGGGGTTGGTTGCAATTTTAAACAGGCTGGTCAGAGCAGGCTTCGTGAGTAGATGGCATTAGTGCAAAGACCCGAAGAGAATGAGGGAGTGAACCAAAAGGATGCTGGGGGAAGAGCATTCCAGGCAGAAGGAAGAGCAGTGCAAAGGCCCTGAGGCAGGAGTGAGCCTGGTGCATGCAAGGAACTGGGAGGAGGCTGGAGTGGCTGGAGCAGAGGGAGTCAGGGGAGAGAGTGGGAGATGAGGCTGGAATGTGGATTTCATAGGCCATTGTTTGGACTTGGCTTTCACTCTGACTGGCAGCCCTTGGCGCCTTTGAGCAGAGGAAGGACATGATCGATGTTAAGAACAGGCAAAAAGGGCAAAGGCAGAACTAGGGAGACCATTGAGAAGGCTGCGTGTCTGAGAGTAGTTCAGCCCAGGTGGTCGTGGTAGAGGCAGAGCAAGTGGTCAGATTCTGGAAATATTTTGGAGGTAGAAGCCCACAGGATTTGCTGAAAGAATGGATATAGGATGTGGAAAGGGGGGAAAGAGAAAAAAGAAAAAACTGACTTCAAGGTTTTTGGCGGAACACCTGGAAGGATGGAGTTGCCATTCTCTGAGACGGTGAAGCAGGGCCTGTGGTTGGCTGCAGGGTGATAAGAGGAAGATCGGGAGGTGAGGCTGGACCTGTAATCTGTGAGATGCCTGCTGGGCATCTGAGTAGAGACAATGCACAGGCCAGTGGATATATACAAGTGGGGACTTCAGGAGAGGTTAGGGCTGGAGACATAAGGTGGGAGTCATCACCGATTCGATGGCATTTCATGCCAGGACAGGGTGAGGTCATTGAATGGGTGCTGTAGATGGAGAAGGAAGAGGCCCCGGGATTGAGAGTGAGGCACTTCTCTGTAAAGGTGCCTGGGAGGGGAGGAGACTGATGTCTAGAGAGAGTGAGGGCCTTGCCAAAGTCTCACAGGGGTCAGGGCAGAACCGAGCTGGCCTCCATGGCTCCCACCTCCCCCTGGACACTGGCCAGTGATCTTTCCACCCCCCTTGGGTTACCACAGCATGCTGTCCCCAAACAGTGAGGTCAGCCGTGTGGCCCAGAGAGTGATCTTGGTGCTCTCGCCACACTGGGTGGGAGACTCCTTAGGCTCTTGAGGAGGGAACTGCGAGTGAGTCCTTCAGCTGGTAAAGGGGAGCTGGCTCAGAACTGCCCTCTTACAAGCTCCGGAGGCAGAGTTAAGGCACCAATTGAGGTTTCCATGGTACATGTTGCATCCAGTGTAACATCTCGGGCAGCTGTGGGGGTGAGGCACCTCTCATCCCCTATCCATCTCCCTAGAATCATGACATGCAGGCCAGGAGGGCCCTTATGGATCACCCAGTCCAGCCTCCTCATTTTACAGTGAGGAGACTGAAGCCTAGAGAAAGGGGCCAGCATAGGCCCGGCTGGGGCCTGGAGCCCCATGGAAGCAGCCTAAGGTTGCCCTTCAGGCCTCTGAGCCCATTTCCCAGCCCCAGGGATTGTGGTGGGAGGAAGGGAGCTGGTTTGGCAGCAAGACCATTGAATCAGGAAGCTCTGGGGGTGACAGCAAGGTTAGTCAGCACCGCTGGCTCTGCCACAACCTCTCTTGGTAGCGAGCCTCCAGACAGGTCCTCCAGGGTCTCACTGTGTCCCCACAGTGCTAGAGCAAGTGTAGCCTAGTGGTCACTGGCCCTGGCCCTGGAGACAGGCCCGCTGGGTGTGCCACTTTATTCCTCAATACTTGTACCTGTGTGGCCTCGGGCAAGTTATTCAGCCTCTTTGTCCTCAGTTTCCTCATCTCAAAATGGGGACACTAATGGTGTCTACATCATAGGGTTATGGAGAAGCCTCATAATAATATTCTAAGGCACTTAGGATGACACCTGGCACGTGGTGGTACATCCTTCAGAAGGGGGAGGTGAGTGTCCTCCCCACATGGAAGGCCAGAGGGTCCCTGCCACCCCTGCCCAGTCCCCTGAGCCAGCTTCCCCACCAGAGGAGGTGTGCTGAACCTCCTTCCAGAAGGTCTCAGCAGCTTCCAGGACCCAGCAGCTTCCAGGACCCAGCCCCCTGGTTAGAATGGGGCGGCCGGGGGCTCGTGCCAGAATTCCAGCCGGCCCTAGAAGCCCAGAGGATCCCAGACGATGGGGGGGACAGCAGAGGGCGCGGCTCCTGCAGGGCACTCAGGGGTTAAGGGCTCTCTCAGCCCTCTCCCTTGTTAGCTCTGCCTTATCTCACAGCTGACTGCTCCCGTGGAAATTGGAATGAAGATGAACCCCAGGCAGCTGGAAAAGTACCGGGCGGCAGTGGAAGGGCTGCTGAGAGAGGTGCTGCTGGACACCCAGAGCGGTAAGCGCGGGCAGGTGACACCTCAGTTGGGGCTGGGCCTCCACCCACCCCATGTTAGTATTCCAGGAGCGAGCGGTCTGCGCAGGGTTTGGGGAGGGCCATTTGTTTTTCTGCTTTGCACCTGAGAAAGTAAAGCTATTTTCTCCCATGAGCGTGCCCTCCCCTCCGGTCTCGGAGCCTAATCTGGAGCAGGGCTGGATCGATGGCTGCACTGCCCCAGGAGCCCAGCTCCCAGCCAGGAGCATCTCTAGGCCCTACCTCGATGGCTCGGGCCCATGACCCAAACACCTTTCTGACAGAGGCTACAACAGATAACCCGCCAACCCTCCTCTGCTCCAGATACATTCACTCCCTCCCAAAACACCACTGAGGCTGGTGATTGCCCTGAAGGAAAAAAGTCTGGCCACAAGCCTGCATTTTGTTCATTGTTCTGCAGATTGAAGTCCTGAGCCCGTTTGGCCTTGCCCAGTTCATGGGCTGTCCAAGTTACTGTGCACAGCTAGGTCTCTGCTGACAAACAGCCACTAATTACTTCTCACAGTCCCCAGGAGGAGAGGAGAAGGGCAGGGAGGCAGTGATCGAGGTGGAGAAACAGGAGGTTAACTGACTTGCCTCAGGCTACAGAGAAAGCTAGAGGTAGCCTTGCAGAGGCCTGGGTGCCCCTCCTCCCTCAGACCTGCAGGCAGGTTTAGAAGGTGGTTTCATAAACTCATACCAGGACATACTGACACTGCTCAGCTGCTAACCTCCTTTGCTTTTCTCCAGCAGCCAAGTGACAGCCCGCTCTGCTCCTGGGAGAAGGTGGCAGCAACCGAGAGCCCCTCCCACCCGAGGGAGGCCCTGAAGTCTGCATGGCCAGCAGAGCTGGGAGGACAACACCCTTTCCCAAGCAAATCCCCCTCCAAATAAAGTGTGAAATGTACAGCAACCACTCTTTTATTTAATATCTTAATTTCCAAAGGTCAAACTCAGGTCATGCCGTAAGGGGGTGGGGGATGAAGTTCTGAGGGAGTTTGGCCATAATTGGTGCACACATTAGCAAAATGTGTGCCTTTTCTTAGTTCTATGTTCAAATATTAATTTAGGCCACAGAATTGGAAGATTTGCACTGGCCCTCCCATGATAGGTGAGGAAAATGAGGCCCAGAGAGATGACATTTTTTTGCCCACACACTGAATCTGTGGCTGAACAAGGACTGGAGTCAGGTCTCCTGAATCCTGATCTATTTTCTGTTTACCAATAAGCTTGAGGTCTAATGGGCCAGAGAGTTTGAGGGCCTCTGCACTCAGCCCCTTGCTGAATAACTTCCAGCTGGCCTTTAAGCTCAATGAACCTTTGCAAAAGCAAGGTGATAATATCCGCCTTGAGATGAGAGCATGGAGCACCAGCAAAGACCAAATTACTATTATTATTATCATCACCTGTGACTACATGCTGCGGCATCCACAGCAAAATTACAAAGCCAACCCATTTATTTCTGCCTTCTAAACAAAACTGGATGGGACGTTTCATTCTAATTTAATTTTACATTAATGAATGTTCATTTATTTATAAGCTAGGGCCATACGGGAACCATAGGTTACCAACAAAGTGCCCATTCCATATTTCCATCTGCCCCAACCACTGCAGGGGCTTAGCCACAGATATAGTTACTGAAACAGGATGACCCCAACCCTTAAAAAGGATACCCCCCTGGGGTGCTCTGAATACTCAAGAGTAACACCCAAACCCAGCTCGCTGCACATTCACAGTTTCCAAAGAATGTACTACAAAACCCAGCACAGCTACAGGGTCCTGGGAAATGCCACCAGACAACGGGTAACAAATTGAGCCAGGGTCACAGCAGGACATGTGGAAGAGAAAGTGATACTGTTGTAACTAGCTAGTTATTAATAAAAAGAAAGGAGCAAAAGGGAGGCCAGACATTATAAGCATGCTCATTTGGGCAGCTTCACCAGGAAGCTGCAACTTCACACTCCCCAGGGAACCACTGGCTCATTCCCGATGGGGGAAGGGGTCCAACAAAGGGGAGATGGATGCATGCAAGGTAAAGTCAGAGTAACATGGGGAAGATGCCAGTCAGTCAAACCTGGAAGATCACAGGGCCAATGCAAGCCCATGAAAATTTGGGAATACATAATTCTCTAGACAAGGAGCTTGCTCTTTTGGCTCTTGGCTCTCTGGTTCCTTTGGCTTTGCTCCTCCTTGTGTTCCCTCCATAGCCATGTGGCCCTGCGGACCCCACATGCAATGGACTGATGAACTGCAGTGGGGACACAAACTAAGCTAGCCCGATGTTGGGTTGGACTGTGCCCTAACATGGAGTGGAAATGGCCTTAATTCTGGCCCTATTGAAGCCACGGCTTCACTTCTTCCTTGACGGGACAAAGGGAAATGGGACCTTGGAAACTCAGGGGTGTAATTCCACACAAATAAAGCTTTCTATTATATCTCATCTTCCCATGGGGGCCTCCGGAAATGCTTACTCCAGTGGCACCCCAGGAAGCCCACTTCCATCAGCAGTCACGGGACGAGGAGCGCTCCCCACAGATAACAAAAGGAGAAAAAGACACCGGACTCTGTAAAGCTGCACTGCGAGGAACTGGATCCAAGCCTCCTGGGCCTTCCGAGTGCCCCGCCAGTCGCCCCGTTATCCTCAGCGCACTCCGAGAAGCAGAACAAAAGCTCACTGTCTCTTCCCATGTGGAAAACAGGCTTCCTGCTGTTCCCTCACCCTCTGCTCAGCCCTGCCCCTACAGAGACCATCACCAGCAGGGGTGCCCGTTCCTGGGCAGGGGCCCCAGCACCCTCTGAGGAATTTTCTTCAGCATCTGGAGTGTAGAGCAGCCTTGGGGTAGGTGCCAGGAGAGAGCTGAGACCCCTAGGAGACTGCGCCCAGGTGGCCTGCGTCGTTTGGTAATGGGAACTGGGTCAGCAAGCACAGCCCCGGGAAGCCTGAGGGTGCCGCCTGCTCTGCCCAGCAGCCCCGTTCAAAGCTCAGGCCGCAGCCCCGTGTCCTCGACCCTCACCCCACGGCCTCTGCTGTGCTCGGGTAATGAGCGGTGGCAGGTGGGACCCTGCCACCGCTGGCATCTGTACACACTGTGCCCGGGGCCCTACTCAGATGTGTCGGCTCCTTTCTTCTCTCCTTTCCTCCTCCCGCCACCGTTCGCTTTTCTCACAAAGGGCTCAAATAACCCTTTTCCTCCGGCGAGTGCCCCCAGTTTCTAGGCCAGCAGGCTGGATAGCTCACAGGACCTGCAGCGCCCTGGAGGAAATTAAAATGGGGGAAGGCTGGGAGCATTCTGCAGCTGAGCCAAGAAAATGCCTGTGTTTTCACAAAACAGAAGTGAAGAGAAACACTCCTGGTGAAAGCTCCAGGATGCCGGGACCGGGGGAGCCCGGGCGACCCCCGCGAGGCGCTTCCTCGAAGCTCTTGCTCACAGGCCCTCTGCGCGCCTGGCAGTTTGGAGAGTTGCAGGCACCCGGCATCGAGCCGAGCCGGGAAGCTGCACGAGGTGGAGGTGAGGAGGGGTTTTCTCTGGAAGCACATCGGTGCGATTTTACAATCACTGAGCTACGTGGATGTGCCGTGAAATTGAATAGTTAAAAGAGAGTAATTGCCTGATATCTGTACTCTGTAATTTGGCATAATCTAATCATGGACAAAGTCCAAAAGAAACTGTTCGGAAAGCACTGCATTCTCCTTCACCACAATTCGTTACTGACACGGGATGTGTCTCCGCCTCTTCAGACACGCTCACCCACAGACACCAAAGCGTGAGAGTAGCCAGAGGAGTGAGAGCTTTGTTCCACTGTCACCTGAAAAGCAGGCGACGAACCACCTGTTAAACCCATTCTAGCGTTTCTCTGTGACTCTGCCCTTCACTGACCTAGAGTTGGAAAGGGTCCTTCTCTCCCACGTGGCACCGAGCCGAGGCAACAAGTGCTGGGCCGTTCCAGTCCCAATCGGGGCCCCAAGTGGCACCCACATGGTCCCCCCTTTCAACCACACCCTCCCAGGGCCACCCCTGGTGTGACACCACATGCCGAGGCCTGAAGGAAGCCCAGAGAGCTGCGGGACGCACGAGGCCGGCTACGAGGTAGATCAAGGACAAGTCCACGGTCCCTGAGCATCTCTGAGGACCTGATAAATGTGTGCCGGGCTTCCAGAAGGCGAGCAGAACCCACTAGAGATTTATGGCTGTGATTATCCCGAGGCTCTGCTGAGGCGGGAGGCCGGCCTCTGGGAATGCAGGGGGTCCCCCAGCGCCCCCTCGCCGCCCTGAACCTGTGGATGTGCTTCCTAAGTGGATTTAGGCACTGCAGCTTGTTTTTCCTCTTTTGCCTTTAATAGATCAGGAAGACCAACCGCAGCCTGAGCTGCTCACTTAAAGAAAAAAAATCACAACAAAGTGATGAGAAAGGAGGGCACACGGGGCAGCCGCTGACTTCGCGATACTGCCCTTTTCTTTAAAATATGGCTGCCCATACTGGACCGGCCAGCTGGGCAACCACCGTGAAGCCCTGGCCTGTGGCTTGGCCACACCAAAGGTTGTGAGTTCGATCCCCAGTCAAGGCGCGTACAGGAGACAACCCATCAATGTTTCTCTCTCCTTTCTGCTCTAAAATCAATGAAAAACGTATCCTGGGGTGAGGATTTAAAAATAAAAAGAACCACAGTGAAGACACAGAAAGGCAGACTCAGAGAAGGCCCACAGGGGCCTCCTGGGCAGCCCCTCACAGGGCAGTGGTGGCAGGAAGCCCTGAGGCCCAGCCCCACTGGGGGACATGAGGCTCAGTGGAAGAGTGTGGGGACAGTTGTGTGGAGGGGAGTGAAGAGCAGCTAGGAGACTTCACTAAAGCAGGGGAGGAGCTTGTGGACAGACACGGATGGAGGACCCAGAGGGGTTAATCTGGGAGGGACAGGACTGGGACAGAGTTCAGAAGGACAATGCAAAGGGGAAGACCTGGGTGGGAGGACTAACTTTCTCAAGACTCTGAGGCTTCTCCTCGCAAGGGGTGGGAGGAAGCACTGATGGGCAAACGTGCTCTGGGTGGCGGCACACCGCCACACCAACGGCCTGCTGGACTCCGCAGACAGGGCGGGCTGCCAGAGCTGCCACGGAGGCAGCAGGGTGGACATGGTAGCGGGGCACTGCAGGAACCGTCATAGGTTCCAGGCCAGAGGGAAGACACAGGGAAGCTGGGAGGGTCCTTTGGCCCTGGGTGTGCAGCAGCAGCGTCCCAAACCCAAGGCAGGCGGACGAACCACAAAGCCCACACTGGGGACCACCGCTGGGGGGGCCTCTAGTTCAGTGTGTATTTTTAAATCGCCCTGAGATCCATTGTGACGAAACAGACTGCAACTCTGCCAAACGCTGTGACTAACTTTGTCTAAGCGTCGGTTTCAAGCCCTCTCAGAATACACAGGGCCAGTGCCGATGCCGAAAGGCTCATTCCTTATATATTGAACAGCACAGCTGCGAGCAGTTGCACAAATGTGACCAACTCATTTGTCATGCAAACAGCGCCTCAGAAAGAAATAAAATACTATTATGTGGTATATGTGTTAGGCAATCACTATATCAAATTCATGGCATTTGGTGCAAACACAGGCAGAGGAAAGGAAAACAACACTTGGTGAGAGGAAGCGCACCACATGGGAGCAGCTAAGTCAGGGAGATGGGGAGGCGAAGGACGGAAGCCTGGCCCAGCTGAGGCTGTAATGTCCCCGCAATGTGGCCTGTGTTCAATACCCCTGTGGTAGAGCGAGTGGCAGGAATGCAAGCCATGGGCAGAGAGGCCTTGCCCACAGACCCGACCGGGAGGGGACAGGAGGGGACAAGGTGGGTGGGCAATGGGCTGTAGGGGAGGGGGGAGTGCAGGGGAAGGGGAGGACCGAATGGGGGCAGAAATGGAATGGAACCCAGGCGGCCTGCGACCAGTGTTTGGGAAAGGCAGTGGGTGAGGGATGTGGAAGGAATACAAAGAGAGGGTGGTGGAAGGAAGACTAGGAAGCCCAGCTCCATTGCCATTTGCCACCACTCCCCAGGTTCCCTGGGGCTTTCTCACTAAGAGCTGTCATGTAACCAAACAGCTGCCCTGTGGGAGGTTTTCACAGCAGCGCTGCGCAGATAGGGGTGAAGTGTAAACACCGAGGATGCGCCAGGCACTGGCCTAAGCGCTGACAGGGACAGCTTCCTCTTGTCCTCGGGAAAGCCCAGAGGTTTACTAACCAACAGGCTGGCAGTGTTACCTGGCTGTGGTCACACCCAGGAGCAGCGCAGCTGCGACCTAAACCCATGCCCTGCCCGCCTCCGCCCTGGCACAGCGCCCCCCCAGCAGCCGCCCTGCCCCTCCAGCCCCAGGACATTGGCTCTTCTCCCCTGCACTGGGGGCCCCGCGGCTGGCCTCCAGCAGGAGCTCCCGCTGGCCTGTCCCTGGGGGCAGGAAGCAGGCCTGAGGCCCCGACCTGAGGTCAGCCGGTCCCAGAGCTTGCCTGGGGTCCACGCCAGGACCCAAGCAAGGCCCTTCCCCGAGTGAAGGGGCCGATACCCGACCTCAAGCAGAGAGGCCAAGGACCCCTCTCTCCCGGCGGCAGTGCCTTGCCTTTCACCCCTAAGCAATCCATCCATTAAATCAGCATGACTTCAGGCCCTGGCTGGGAAGCTCTGTTGGTTAGAGGGTCGTGATATGCCAAGGTTGTGGGTTCCATCCCCAGTCAGGCACATACAAGCAGCAATCAATGAATGTATAAATAAGTGGAACAGCAAGTCAGTGTTTCTCTCCCTCTCTGAAATCAATAAAAACCAACATAACTTTATTGAGTGCCTACCACGTGCCTGGGGCCGCGCATTCAGACGTGAACACCTTGGAACTCAGCAAGGAAGGTAAAGAAAAAAAGGAAGAAAACCAAACCCGATGACCTCCCCAGCGTGGCGGCAGTCGGGGCTGAAGTGACCCCATCATCATGGCGGCCCGCGGTCGGGCTCCGACCTCCCCAACATGGCGGCCGCGGGCCCTCCCCATCATG